TATAATATTTGGAATAATATGTGTGCAACATGCAAGCATCATTTTGATTTTGTAAAATGGAGCTACATTTGAACTTTATTCCATAATCTGATCATCATGTAAAATCTTAAAGGTCCATATTTTACACTTCAAGTAGAAGTATATTGTATCATAAAATGAAAATAGTCAACTAAAGTACAAATAAATAAAAACTGTACTCAAGTACACTACTTGCACTAAACTAAATGCACTTAGTTGCTTTACAGGCTTGAGATGTGCATTGTCTGGTCTGGAATTAGCTGTTGTACCTCCCAGTGGGCCTGTAATTTAGTTCTGTGGACTGGTGATTACTTGTTACTGCTTCTCCTTGTCTAATGAGAACTGCCTGCTACATAGTGATTCTTCTTCTTACCTTGAAAAAAGCCCAGCAGCTCTTCAGCTATAACAACACTGAGGCCTTAAGTGACTTGGCAGCCATGATGATGTCATTTTCAAAGTTTGGTACATCACTCTAAGTAATCAGTTTACATACAAAGCTAGTGTGGAAATGAAGTTGCTGCTGCAGGCTCCATTTGGCTCCAGACACATGCAAAAGTAATATAAAGAGAGGGCATGGGAGCGTTTCTATTCCTCTGCTCACTGTGTGTTAGTGTGTAGGTGACTGCGTAGGATGGAGGTGGGCTTCGTGTGGTGGGGTTGAGCAGTTATCTATGTATGTGCATTCACGAACAGTGTCATCTATTAATGAGACCCAGTCTCTCCGTTGGTCCACAGCAGAAAACGTATTAGCTTCCCAATAACGCCTCTAAAATTGTGAGATGCTTAAGTTTTTCTATTGCTACTTCTTTTCCACTCAGTTTCTCTCTGTGAAAACAAACAAAATGACTGACGTTCCTTATATTTTCAGTAGAAAATGCAATATATTCTAAGATAGTTTCTGCATTAATTTTCATTTTGATAACATTTCTAATGAGAAATATGCGTGTTATTTTCATTGAATGTATATGATCTTTAAGCTGGGCATAACAACACAAATTACTGCTGAAACTATCTTAAAATATTGAATTTTCAGCCATTTAGTTTGAAGCTTGATAGTTACATGGCAAAAAAAACAAACAAAAACGGAGGCATCTCACAATTTTAGAGCCGTTATTGTGAAACTAATATGTTTTGCGCTGTGGACCAATGTAGCAATGTGAGACTGGGTTGATACCTTGCTTATAGTTCCCACTGACAGTGGGAAGGCCGCACATTGCCATCAGACGGCGTGTAGAACAGCAACAGCGGTGATGGGGAAAAATTTGCAGAGAAAGTCATGTGGGACCTGACCCAGGGTCAGCCTTAATCAGATGTCTGATTTTCGGCTTTAGTGGCAGAGCTGAATGATTACTGTGCTCGCACTCAGCTCTTATGTGTCACTGATTAGAGTTTCATTAAAAAAGTAATATGTGCAGCAGGCATCCCATCATGAACAATAAAATTGCTGTTGCTCCCTTCATAACAAACTATATTTCCATGGAGAAATGTGACAGAGGCAGGAGAAAGGGGAAGGCAATAGCAGGCTGGCAGCAGAGCAGAGAAAACAGTGTCGCTGATGAACTGAGAGGTTGCCATCAGCAGAGCTGTGATCAGAGCTGTGAGGCTGCGTGTCTGAGTGCCTGCATATGTGCGTCACTGCATGGGTGTTTTTCTGTGTTTGCTGAGCTGGTATTGAGTGCACCATTTGTGGAAGAGAACCTGTGTTTGTGCCTTCGTCTGTGTGTTTGCCAATGGGATTACAAAAAGACAAATGGAAGAAATTGGAGGTTACTGGGGGGAGGGGGGGGGGGGGGCATTAAGCATGAATAAATCACTTCCAGGCATGCTGCATTTATGCTGTTTTTCTCAAGCAGCTTCAGAAGTTTGTCTTGCACAGCAAGGTTTCAACGTGTGCAAGGGGAAGATTAACACCTGCATTTACACAATAATACATTTCCTTGCCTTTTCTTTGATTGTAGATCACAGGGCAAGGGGAAATGAAATTGGTGCGCTTCTTTTGCTATTTCCTCTGCACAAGCAAGTAACGCATAAATACAGAGAGTTAAAATGATACACATTAATGTTTAGTCACTGTATGATATGAAAGGCCCTTGGTTCTATTTTAGCCGCCCAAGGAAAGATGATATCTGGAGGAAAGGTGACCAGTCAACCCTGACTGTCACTGAGCTGCCTGACCAGGGTCACACAGTGCCTGAAAATCATTCTTACTGCTTGTTGTAACCTTCTTTCACCCTGCTGCGTCACAATAATTCAAACCATGTCTGGCACGCATCTTGTCACACTAATTATATGCAAAGAATACTTGAACAAGCTGATGGGAAACATAATACTAAGGTTTGTCTAAGTTCTCCACTTCACTTGGATGTTTGAGCTTTTGGCACGAGAAGGTTATTTTCATATTTCGTTTCTCTGTGCTGTGCTTAAATTTAAGTTTAATACATGAATGTACGAGCATGATTTGTGACACATGACACATTTTAAACTATGTAAAATGATTCTGCAAAGATTAATATTCTTTTAACATGGTTTTCCATGGTTTAAAAAGTGAAATAAAACAGGGGCTGCTCCACTGCTCGAGTTGGTTTGACAGGTGAGAGTATGATGGCTAGACGAGGAAACATCAGAGAGAATCAGGAGTTTTTAAGGAGTTTGTTGTGACCAAAATCGGCAAATAGAAGACGTATCAGAACAGTAAGCTACTTAATTCTTGTTTGTTAGCTTGTAACTGGCAGTGGCTGACACAGTGTTGGTGTTTGTGCTCATGTGAGCTCTCGCTCTTTGTATTGACAAGGTTTCAAGATTGTTTAGCCCCCCCTCCCCTCCGTCACCACAAGTTGACAGGATTGGTTCCTTAGGTTTGTGACGTATGAAACCCTGACTGTCTGAATCTGTTTTTATGAGACTGTCATTGGTTCACTGCAGTTCCAAGGTAGAGATACTCAGTCATGGCCTTGACTGATTATTTCACTCATTATATGTCTTGTATTAAAAAAAACATGATATGGATGTTAACAAATTTTATAATGTAATTTTCTTTAAGCCCCTTTTTCACTATTGGAAATCCAGATAAGCCTCGCAACATCAGGACTTTGTTGGCAATGAGAATCAGCATTCACACATGGGTCAAATGACTCTGCAGTAGATGTGGGTATTGCTCCAATCTGCATTGATGTAAACACAACATCTGGGTGAACCCGCTAATTTTCACCCCTTTTCCATCTTTCAGAGCACAAACACTGTAAACAGACCTGTCACCTGTCGTCAGCACGGTGCTGCTAAACCTCAGCTACACTGTGCTTGGGGGTGTGAGAGTGAGCTACAAGTTTCAAAAACAAACCATCACCAAGCGTCTCACCCGGAGGCTCCGACACAGACAGGAGCACCAACCTGGGGATGAGACGCCCATTTTACCAGTTTGCACAGAGGCTAGTAGCTTACACCTTCTCCCCTACGTATGAGTGTGTGTGCTCTGTAACTGCATGTGGTGACACTGTGTGTGTCCTCCCCGGCTGGCAATGTAAGAGGAATCAATCGCCTATTTTTGGCATGTTTACCCATGTTTAAAAAAAAAACTATGAACGGACTTCACAGTGAAATATGAGACATCTCATGTCCAGTTAAACTTTTGAAATAAACAATATTTGCATATTTATAGATTCAGGATATTTAAAAAAAAGCTGTCTGGATGATGTCTGGATTCTTCCTTTCGAGGCGTATAATTTCAGTATTGTGTTGCACTATAGCTTCAAGTTTCAGAGCTATTTCTTATAAATGACCCGTTAGAGAGCACATATAGAATGAACCAAAGGAAGACACAATTTTTCAGCATGAAGGAACATGAACAGCAGAAACAAAAAGCACAAACAATGCTGTAAACCAAGAGAGAAAATGAGCTATTGATTAAACAGTACGAGATCAGACTTTGACCCTTCATGACTGTGAATCAGAAAAACACTCAGTTTGCCTCAAGAGTGAAATACCCTCAATGTTACTTATAGTATAGAAATTAGCATTCTGTACAAGCCTCTGCCTGAACTCTGTCAATCAGCTGCTTCTCAAAGCACTAACAATATCAAATCAGGTCTGTATTTGCCTACTTAAGGGGATGGGTTCAACAGGCTCTTTCATTCATAGATTCGAGGCAAAATTGCAAAGTTGGATGGTTGGCTTTTAGAGAAGTAGGAATCAATAGTGCAGATAAAACATGGCGCCACTCCTCTGGAACACCCTGCTCATCCTTCTTCTGCTGTGGTTTGATGGAACAGCTAAAGCCGACCTGGTGGGCAGCAGGCCTCTCTTCACATTAGACTTTTACACAAATATAAATCATATGCTGCCCTGGTGTTACATGAGAGGTTCGCCTGAGTGCTGACGGACTGAATCTTTTTTATTTTTTTTACAGCTTTGCTAAGTGATGGTAAAAGCTCCAGACACATGTAAGTGATCTAACATAAGTGTGAAAAGCTGAACTAAGTGGGAATCATTGCTCTCAGCTTTGATCTGAGGAGCGCTGCATTTATAAAAAAAAAAATCTGAATAGACGAGGAATCATATGGAACCTGGGCCAAGATGATGCTGAAACCTAACATTTCTGATCAAATACTGAAAACTAAAAGTGTCTTCAAAAAGTGTCTTTGAACCTTCCACAAATTTCTTTTTTATTCTTTAAAACTGCTTTTTAAAACAGACTTTTCAAAACCATTTGTCTCATGTTATATCGGTGGTTTCTTCGTCTTACAACTATGACAACTACTGTCACAGTAGAAAATGAACAGTGTAGTAAGTCCTCAATCAAATCTAATCATCCTTTTCTCTTGAACAACTCGCAGTAGAAAAAACACAATTCCCCCATGATGTGGCTACAAAGCACAAAAAGCTTTACAGTGAATACAAACAGCTTCCTCCCACATTCGCTGTCAATTCAAAAGTAATTAACAACGCTTGCTGACTATTGGAGGAGCTGCTCCACAAGAGAGACTCACATCTTTTTGAAGTCGCACACGGTGTACTCGGGCCAGTCAATGTAGCACACCACTCGACCGGGGAGCTCGTCCGTGTCAGAGTAGTAGTACTGAGGGAAGGCCAGCAGCAGAGCCAGCACCCAGATCACTCCCACCACCACTTTGGTCTCAGTGGACGACATGCGCTGCTGCAGAGGGTGGATGATGGCCATGTACCTGCAGAGGGGGCGAAGGGGAGAAGATTCAGTGAGGCTGAGAAGCTGTTGTCATTTAATATCATACAATGTCCCAATCAGAGATAGATGTAAAGACTCAGTGAAGCACTGAGCCAAATAATGGTTACAAAGAAATTTGAGTGCGCTCACATCTGTGGGTCGGAGCCCTCAGGCCGTCATTGACTGCAAATGATTTCACACCAAATACTGAATATGGCGACTTATTTAAATTCATATTACCTGATCCAATTTTTTTAAAGGGTGTTGTGTGTTGAACAGATTGCAAAGCTCCTTCAGATGTATAAGGCTGTTTAAATAAAATTGACTTTGAGGAAATAAATAATACACCAGCGGTTCCCAACCTTTTCCAACTCATGGCCAACTTGAAAATCTCACATGTTGGCAGACCCCATAACAATACAAGTATACAATGTGGACCAGCGGTAAAGAAGTCATAAAAGTTCCTATCATTGGCTTATCACAGTGATGGGGTTTAAAACAAACAAAAACTAGAATTAAGGCATTGTGCTTTTATTCCTCCACCAACCAGCCAAATTGCAGGGAATATGATTACAATCTCTCCTTCCTGAGTTACTGCATTGATTAATGTTTTTTGCAGAACATGATGATGTCACAGTGAAGTGACCTTTGACCATTTGGATATAAGATATCATCACTTCATTTCATCTTTATAGACATTTGAGCTAAATTGTGTCATAGTTTGTGTATGAATTTGTGAGTTGTGGCCAACAACAAAGGTTGTGTGAGGTCACAGTGTGACAGAAGTGATGCAGTTCCCTCTGGGCATTCCTGATAGATTATATATATTGCATATTGAGATCACTTGACTAGTTTCATTAAGGCATTACTGAAATATCGCATTCACCAGAATGGGATGGACAACTCAAAAACAATATGACTTCAGCGCTGCATGGCTGTTGCAGGCAGGAGGCATAACAACAATAAAAGGAGTTTATAATCTTTCTTAATGTGGTTAAAGATCATTTTGTTTTTAAGACATTTACAACAAGACATTTGCAATCTATCAAGAACGCACTCTATCACACTGTAAATCATCTCTAACCTAATAAATTAGATTTATATATGTGTTTGATTGTTCATTGGAGGAGAGGGTAAAGATCTGTGCAGATGGAGGACTCATTGTTCAGTGTGCGATCATGTTATTTAGGTCCTTGAGTAGGTTGTAGTGTAGAAAATCTGTGTCAGAGTCATAAACTTAAAATAGTTCCTGAAGGGAAACTCAGACTACACACTGAAACTCCACCAGCAGGATGTGACTATTCACACGCACTCACCCACACAGCAGCATCTGAACCATTTTAAAGGGAATTTTATTTTTGAACGAGTACAGGTCAAACCACACAGTAAAGCTCTGATTTGACAAACTGGTAAAAAAAAAAATCATTTTCAGTCACAAAAGGATCCTGCTCTGGTTCTAATACAAAGTGCGTCAGCCATGAAGTAGGAACGATTCCCCTCGACATTTCAGTAATCATTTCACATTGTTATGATCAGGCTTCTAATCAGAGACAGCAGAGCGCATGATTAACTTAAAATTACCTTGTATGTAATTACCAGTAAATCTCACCACGGAAATGGTTTAAAACACCTTTGCTTCAGTAAAGAGAAAATCATTGGTACTTCATCTCAGGTCTTTTTGACTAAAGTTCATCAGAGATGTGGTTCTATTGACTTTAATTTAAACCCCTGAAACTGTGTTTGCTCTTTCTAACAACCCAATTACCTGGAAGCTATATTTATCCAGCAGAGTGCTGGTGTTATTTGAAATCGTTTCTTATAAAAAACCCCTGAACTCAAATTGTATTATTCCGATTATTTCATACTGTATATACAGACTGTATATGGTTGCGAAACAAATACGGTATGCTATGTGTATCAATGACTATAAAACATTAACATCTGTGTTTTTATTTTTTTTTGGCTCCTGTCGAAGCAAAGCTCTCTAGTAAAATACCATCCTGAGCCAAAGCGGTCTAATTAAAGGCTTAATCCCACTAATAACCCAAATGAATCTGCTAAATGGACTAATTACATCAGAGACAAGAGGAGGCCTTTGAAATCAAACGCTCCCAGCGGCCTGCTGAAAATGGGAGATCACAGTCTCTGCTTTACTTTGGCTCAGCTTCAAACAGCACTGGAAGCCGTGTGGCTTTTCTTCATGTAGGTGAGTCAGACTCAGACTGTTGATGTCTGAATCAAACGCACACCTGCAGAGGGACAGCGGCCTGCTCTCTGGACAGCCCAAATCATCCTCAGCCCTGCTGGCACGCAAACACTGGACTCACATTTAATGCATCCTGGACACCAGACCAGAGAACAGTAAATGTTTTAGTTATTAACATCTGCACTTAACCTGTCGTGATTGAAGACTGCTGTTTATCATGACTGATAACAGAATCTCGACACGGCTGCACACGGAGTATAATGTTATTTAGAGAGATGTTCTTCACACAAGAACTGTAACCTTATTGTCTATAAAGGATGGTCATCTGCAGATACTTTGCATTAGCAAACTGAATCCTTTCACATAGGTTATCAAATCTAATTAGCATTAGTTTTTAACCTTTTAACAAGGAAACTTCGTCGGAGCAGCCCACTCTGAAAAGATCAATATAGCTACAAATCCTCAGGGCAGCAGTTGGAGGAGTGTTTGAAAGTGTTATGTGCAGACTATGTCTCTTTTTCCTTGTGCTCGCCTGCATTTTTCCCTCCCTTGTGTATTTGTTTATCCTAAGTTTCTATCGCTCCCTTTGTGTGTGTGTGTGCGTGTGTGTGTGTCTGGCTGGAGTTGGTTAAAAAATGGTTACCTGGTTCATCTCCTGCCGACTCACCTGCACAGCTGCACCTCATCAACTCTTCCACCAGCTGCAGTATTTAAACCCTGGCTCGTCCCTCCAGTCGCCGCCATTTAGGCTACCACCCGTTACAAACGCTAAGGCCAAACTCTACTCTATTGTTCCTTGTATCAGTTTGGATGTTTTCTAATCCTGAGTTTCCCTGTGCTCCACGTTCATACCTCCAGTCTACCTCAGTGGCCAGGCTGTCACATCCAGCTCTAACCTCATCATCTCTCTGTCTTTTAGATCGTCGCTTCCCCTCCAGTTCGTCTTTAGTATAAGCCCTGTCCTGGTCACCTGGTCTCTGGTTAGATCTACATTAGATTCTACTGTCCCACCTGCTCCACCTGCCACAATCTGCCATTCACCTACATAAGGACTCAAACCCATTACTCTAAACCAGACTGTTGATATTAAATCTTCTTTTAAAAACTGCTTCTGACTCTGAGCCTGTGTTTTGCATCTTTGGCGCCAAAATGTGAGTTATTCTAACAGAAAGTCAGTGTACTGAGAATAACATGCAGGTGCTTCGTGATTGATGTTTATATTCAAACACTATTTCTCTTTTCATCCTTCCTCTTTCCTCTTTTCATCCCTCCACTTCCATGTGTCTCCATTTGAGTGCATCAGTTCTGTTCGATCAACTCGTCTGCCTGCAAATAGAGAATAATCTATGAAACAGAACTCAGTACGAACACTGCTTTTATTCACATATAAAAGTCAGTATCTGCATTCTAATGTCCCAGCAGCCCCTGCTACAGCTGTGAGGTATTTCATTTTTATGGATTTGTTGCTATGGAGCTCTGCTTCCCTGTGCTCCCCTGCCTTTCATTTCACATTTTGAAAACCACACCTCTGAGACTTTGGACTTCCAAGTATCTGTTTGTCGGGAATATCTGATTTCTCTCGACAGGACACCTCTCACAAGGTGGCAGGCGGCACGGGCAGCCCGGGCTAGATTGCATGGGTGAAATACGTCTCCAATTATCCACAAATGTCCCCCAAACTGCCATGGCAATGCAACGGTTCAATATAAACACCATGAGGTTGCTGCAATGCTTTCCTGAAGAGAAATAAGTGATTAAGAGGGAAGCAGCTAAAACGACAGATGAAATTGCTTGCCTTCCAGCCTGCCAGTGATTTTTTTTTTTTTTCAAATTGCATTTGAAAGTCGGCTGTGGTAATCTGATCATGAATTTGTTTCAACTGGTTTATTACCTTCTCAGGGGGTTGTTGTTGTTGTTGTTGTTGTTGTTGTTGTTGTTGTTGTTGTTGTTGTTGTTGTTGTTGTTTTGCAGAATGTTACATAAAACTCCCATCAGCTGCTGGGAGGAGATGGGGTAGGTGAAGGTGGAGGAGCCTGAGGTCTCTCTCTTTCTGTGTGTGTGTGTGTGTGTGTGTGTATGTGTGTGTGTGTGTGTGTGTGTGTGTGTGTGTGTGTGTGTGTGTGTGTGTTGGGTAATTTGAAGGATTGTCACTTGTTGCCATTATTGTCCACATGCATACATATGACATCTTCAGCCCCCTCAGTCTCATTAATAACCAGCAGACACTCCTGTGGCCTGTGGAAAACCAATATCCACCTGCTCACCACACTGTCACCTCTTCCCTTATTGGGTATGCACATAGAAATGCTCCTGGTTGTAGAAGACGAGCCTGTTTGTTGAGGTCGGCCTGATCTAGTGGCAGATAAAGAATGTCCTGGTTAATGATTGAAAATATTAATAAAACTAGAAATTGCTAAAAAATAATAATGATGATGAAAAGATGAAGAACTTGCAAATATTTGCAATAATATGACTACAATAAAAATTATGGTTGACCGATATTTGACTCCATGTTTCACAAACAAAATGGAAACAAACAAACGTGTCCCAGGTGTGTCTGGGCATGTTCATCACTCTTTAGTGCCCCCTGGAAACAGTTGCTTTGTTACTAATTTCTGTTGTCATCCATGCGTCGTGCAGCATTTCTGTAATTGGTTGTGTTTTCTCTTTGTGCAGGTTTTTTTTTCTTAATGGTGCGAATTGAGATTTCCTAATTATAATAATATGATAATCTTTATTTAAAGAGCACTTTTCAAAATCCATGTTACAACGTGCTTGACTAAAGCAGCAATAAA